AAACTTCACACCAAACCGCTCTTGAATCCTGTGCCTCTTATTTCTTACTCTAAACCTTAAAGTCTTGATTCTCATGAAGTACAAACTTGATTCTCGTGTGAAAAGACGACTTCAGACCAGTGAGTAACAGTCTGTTCCTTTTTCTCTTTAGCCCAGGTAAGATGCTTCCTAATGCCGTCTTATCAGGAATAGCTTCACGTGAGAACAGCGACACTTATAGCTTACGACCCAGATATGCCTGCCCTTAAGGCTCCGACTCCAGCTGCAGCACTTTCTGTTTGAAAGCCTCTCAGAATCTTCACAATCCTCTCAAGGCCACTTTTCCTTCCACTAAACCTTCCAGTACACCTGGGTACAGATTCTGCTTCTTTAATGAAGATGCTTTATTGGTGAGTGAGAATCTGCGGGACAGATGTGAAGTCAGCAGTCTGAGCCACAACCTGATATTCCTGTATTATTAATCCTTTTTAATTGGCCTCAGTATCCTGTTTTTGAAGATGCTGTATTTTCATTTGCCCAAAGCCACAATTATTGACAGCAACAGAAACCGTAAAAGAGAAAAATATCCCTCTTTGTGTCGTGTGTCCATGAGTTTTGATGACACGCTAATAAAATGAGATGGATTTGTAGCTGCGGCCGGTAGAATCTTGGTGTTCCCAACTTCAGCTGGCTGATTGAGGCGCCACTGGCCACACAGTTTGTCTGCGGCGTCCAGTAGAACCACTACGCCCTCTTCTGGTTAGAACACCAACTGCAGGCAGATTCAGACGCATCCGATTTCTCGGAGGCCTTAATTAAAGCAACATCACAGGCAAACATTTCCACTGATTGACAATGTGTTGCTTTTTTTTTTTCTTTTTTTAAATCATCACAAGTTGGTCACATTTATTTGAATTATGCAGGAATGTTGACGGAAACAGAGAATTCATTTGGTAATCTGTTCAAACAGTCAACATATACTGTTGCCAAACTGCAGCTAAGAATATACTCTCCTCTTTTAAGTCGGTGTAAAGTAAGTTTTCCACAGGGCTCCTGGAGGCTTTCTCTGTCATCTCCATCTCCCCAGCGAGCGCCTCTCTGCCGTTTGAAAACTTATTTGATGCTGTAGAATTATAAGAAATACTCTCATTGACTCTCCTATGGTAATCTGCTTATAATGCAGAGATTATACACCATCCATCATCATCTTGCATACAAAAACCTCAGCAGGATCTGTGGTGTATATTTGGTGCAGCCCACACAATGAACGCCTGTGGCACAGTTTATGTAAATAGAGCATTTGAACTGTGGGAAGGGGCAATCAAAGAAACTCCCTGTGAGATAGAAACTCGGCTCACTGAAGCTAAAAAAAAAAAAAAGAGAAAACTTTCCAAGTGCTCCCAAGTGCATTTTTTCCACCGTTGGTGGATTTTCAATCTTCAAGAATGGCGGCTTCATTCAGACGCTTTGTATCAAACAAAGAGAATTTTGATATAACAGAACGAGGCTTGGAAAATAAAGCTTTGAAAAAGAAGAAGAAGAAGAAGAAGGTGTTCAATGATGTACAAATCTTCAGGAATGAATTTCTTAGATTCCAGGCGTTACTGTGATCTCTTAAGATGGCCTTATCGAAAAGTTCTTCAGGCCTTCAACGATTTGTTTTGTTCTTAATTTGCTTTTTAACCCTTGGCTGCTGGTGGAGGAAAATGACCGACTTTGTTCATTTACTCTGGCTAACAAATTGAGGGTTAAAAAATAAATAAAATTGAATTAAAATAGTAATTTTTTCAGTTACTAAGCTAAAAGTGTGACATAGATGCAACAACTGCCAGGTTTTCATTTAGACATTCATTAAATGTTTTCCTATTTTGTCCCTTTTCCAGCAGCCTGAAAACCCAATAGATTCACCGTCACAACTGGAACATTATGGCTTTCACTATGAGGGTCCACTGGAGCTTCATTAGAAATTGATTTGGGTTTGTTTTAAATGGAATAGACACCAAGACGGAAAATAAATGGGAATGGAAAAGGAGAACGGTGTGGAAAAAGGTGTAAAAGAGAAAAAAATAAATGAGAGAAGTGGAGAGAAGGAACGATAGAGAAAATACAAGACAGAAGTCTTCATCTATACCTGGAGAGAACAAACAGAGAATCAAGAAACCATAGCAACAAACAACATATGCATGTGTATGCAACAATAACATCACAGAAAGTACAGTGAGTTAATACAACATGTATTTAGTGGTAAGTGCAGACCAACACAACGTGTATCTGTAAATACCTCAGAGCAAACACGTGTTTTTCTGTTTTCTTAAGCGTATAAATGGCAAAACGTGTCAATTTTGAAATGTAATTTTCTGAGATTGCTTTCTCTTTAACAAGAAAGCCCAAATAAATGAGGTCAGGTCCTATATTTGTCACATCGCCCCTGGTGGAGGATCCATGTACTACAGGTGTCGAGTGATACCACAACACAAATATCCCAGATGATGAACATGATGTCCCTGTAAAATAAAAATAGCAGCCAGAGTATCATGTCCTTGAAAATGTAACTGTTAATTAGATGCTTTAGGAAAGAAAAAAAAGAGAGCCTGATTATAAGTGTCATCATATTTTATAACAAACCACAGATGAATATCAAATTTGATTTAAGGCATTTTTGTAGATAAAGTCTAAATATATTAGAGTTTTTAACTTTGGTTTTGAAGGTGCAAACTGAGTCCAGAAATTTTCTAGAAACAACTTGAAACTGATCCATAAAATATCCCTGTAACCAGAGGCGGCTGGTTATATTTGTATGCTGTGCTAACAGATGTATAATAACATGTTGCAGCTTGGATTCCAACAACAGAAGGATCCAATCTGAAATAAAAAACCCCTCTTCTTCCTATTAAGCACAAAAACAACGAACCACCAAAAAACATGCTGACAGAAATTCTGTCACAATTGTCCAATACTTCGCTGTCCTTGAGTAGGAGTTTAAACTATTGTCAGCTTTGTTTAACACTGCATCACATTCCTCGACACAATTACTAATCACATTGACAAAAAAATCAAACAAGACAATATTAGAACGATGAATAGGCTGTGTTCCTAAAGCATCACAGCTAATTTTATTTAGTGTTTCTAGAAATATAATTTAATCATATATTTTTGCTGATTGACTTCATTCAAAACTGGAACGTTTTTCTACAGTTCCCTTCTAACTTTAGCACAAAAACAGCTTCAAGCCAAGATCTTAGTACTTAAACAAGGCACAAGCCACTTGTAGTACTTAGAGCCTCCAACAGAGGGCATAAGACAAGTATAGGATTTGATACAGCACATTTCCACAATAAAAGTATCCACTTTGTGGTTGTTTGCAGTATCACCGTACTAAACAATCGTTCTTTGAAATAATCTCTTTCTTTTAACAGAACTACTCCTAGCCATACTGAAAAGGAGCTCACGTAGTAATCAGATTCGCCACCAGAGGGCATAAAACAAGTGGATGGTTGATGCATCAGATTTCTGAGGAATGCGCCAACCGAGATCCCAGAAATGCATCGAAATGATACGTTTGTGCTACACAGTTAAGCAATAAAGTAACATAAAATATGATCAAAATGCCTGACTATTAAGTTAATCGTTAGAAAATGTGATAAACAAAAAACAAAGTCAAAAGAAAAACAAAGAAAGGAGAACTATTGATTCGTCTTGAGACTAGAAGACAACCCGTCTCCCTCCAAGGGAACCATGCAGACATTAAAGGTGTATTCAAACCTAAACGACCTTCAGACTTTCAATCAGACAGAAACCGTCTCGGCTGTCCTCTGGCTCTGCGCTCTCAGCTGAAGTTCTCCAGCCAGTTTACTCAGAGTGCTAAAAGCAATGCGGGCGACGTTCTGGGAGTAAGTGAATTAAAAGCCTACAGACCATAGCAGCCGGACAACCTGGAGAAACTGTGAAGCAGCGGCTCAGATGTGTTGGCAGGAAGCCAGAGGCAGCTTAAGTCAGATATATGGGCAGAGGATCAAAAGGGCTGTCAAACGCTGCAGAGGCCATCCGAGCAAACAGAGAGCGGACCTGCTGAAGCCCTCATCTCATCTCTGGCTCGTTCAGCCAACTGTCAGTGTGAAAACACACGCCATGTCCGTCCATCATCACAGGAACTGATGCTTCAAAAGCAGCTTGAGGTTTGTTATATATGGGCCAACAGTCACAACTTGAGGTTGTCTTTGTGTACATGTGAATAAAAAGTAATGCGAGTGTCTCTAAATGTGCTGCCTTCACTTGGAAGCAAGCTCTTTATTTGTGAAAGAGCCAGATTTGTCTGATTTCATGTTGCAGACTTGAGAACAGCTAATGCAAAAAACAAAAAAACCCCCCAACATATTCTTATTCTTACATGCTGGGATATTTAATTAAAATGTATGTTTTATGTGCAAAAACCTCAAACTAAACTGCAACCCAACCAGTTTAAACGGTATCTACCCATTTTCCCAAAACGAGCTGATAAATATTCAGCCAGAGTTACACCAGTGGCTGGGTGATGTTTACACTTTATTCTGGATGTATAATTTTAACCCCATGTGGAATAAATGCAAATTTAAGGACTCCTTGTTAAAGTAACTCAAGTTATTTTCTGTTATTCTCATCCCTCCCTGGGGAAACATTTAAATAAATCATAAAAAGACAGTTTGGAAGCATTTTCACGCCCGTGAGGAGCTACGTTAACGTCTCATCAGAGCGATATGAAGAAGCTAAATCTATTGATTGCTTCATGCAACTGTTAACTTTGATAAAAAAAATAGGATTTAACCATTTTTGTACATCGGCTGATGACTTAGTCAGTTTTATATGCTGGAGATGGAAGGTTTAAATAGGAAGATAAATGGGAATAAAATCAAAACAATAAGTTCAAAGCTGTAGTAGCGGAAATAATAAAAGAAAAACTAAATGGCTAAAAAAAGAGAGACGTGTATTAAAATAACCTGAAACAGAATGAAGTGTAGCTCAGAAATGTTTAAACATTGGAAATCATATTAAAACACAATAGAAAATTTTTTTTAATATTGACTTTACACTTTTATACAAAAGTTTGATACAAAATATTTTTGGAGATTTGCTGAGACATTGCTTTTCTGTATGAAAAAAAAAGGCACATTAGCTCAAAACACCTTACATATTCAGCTTTTATAAAATATGGAAAAGAGGGCTTCTCCTTCAGACCAGTATCCTTAACATATTGCTTTCCTTATTCATTTTGGCCTGAATAAACAGACCTAATAATCTGACATCAAAGTCCTCTGAAGAACAAACACACAAATACAAACATGAATATAGTTCTGTGAAAACTCCTGAACCACTCTTATTCCAACACGTCTCTTTTCATCTAAAGGTTTTTCCTCAGGACATCAATGACAAGTTCCTTCATATTGTGTCCTATTTTTATTCTAAGAATTTATATTTTTAGATTAGAAACATTTAGGATTTTTTTTTAAAAGAAGCAAACACTATATTCATAAACAAAGATGCATTTCTTTGATAATTCCTTTGGTAAAACATATGATGACGCCTTTTCTCAGAGCTTCCAATTTAAAAGGAGATTCTCTTTCATATCCTGACAATCTGCTGCAGATTCAATGCTCCTCCTTTTTGGCCCCACTAATAAAGATGTGTAAAGCACATGGGAAAGAGTTTTTCTTATTCTTCTTATTTTAGCAACATGATCTCAGACTGAAACTTTTAGAAAAAAATCCAACCTTACATTGTGGGGTCTCCAACTCCAGAACTTCCTCAGTATTGCACCAAGTTCTGCAGAGGCCCGCTAACGAGCCATTCGTTGGACTCGGCTGTGTTGAAGGAGGAGTGCGTCTAAAAGTTGAAGGGTGGCGACTCCAGCATTAATTTGAGAACATTTATCCGAATCTCATATTAATAAAGAATTGTTTTCAATACAATCGGCATATTTGAATCAGATTTAAATCAGACTACGTTCGCCTCAAAGGGTGTGTGGATGTTACAGTTGGGGTAAAGACCACTTCAACGTGTGAATCCAGACTTTAGGGGTAAATACATGGGCGTTAAAGCAGAGTTTCCTATTAGGCAACTGCAGCAAAGAGCCGTTAAGACAAGTAAGCTCACTTTGAAGCTTTTACACATCTTTACCAGCCAGAGATCCGCGTAGTTCATTAGTTTTACTTGTCCAGTTTCCTCATATAGTTGTAAAGTCTGGCTTTGCCTCCATGTTTTGGCTAAATGCTCCTTTTAGCAAACGTCACACTGATGCAGGAATACTTTGCTGTGCTTTCACAGACGCCAACTTTGACACTTCTCGCTGAATAAAATAAGCATAAACGATGCAACATTCTTACAATGCGAGCTTGATGCCTCACATCTGCAGCTGAACGAAAAGCCCCCTCTCCACTGGATTCACTTAACAGAGTGAAATTAAATCAAACTGGAATAAGAAGTTGACGACCTTCTCAAAAAAGTTTGGTTGAAAGCGGGTTCTGAACAGAAGGAGATGAGAGTGAATCAGGAGTTTTGCACAGAGTTGCATCGTCCTCTGCTCCTCTTCCAGGCTGCATGTGAAACAGCTTATAGTCCTTGCAGATATAATAACTCTCCTTGCACATTATATCTCTGCATAGATTATCTTTTTTTTTTTTATACACAGAAATCCACCTTGCATTTTTGGTCAAGACATTCATCCAAAGCCAGACATAAAACATAAAAAAAACAACAATATAGGCACTTGAATACAAAATAAGCTGTATATTAGTGTATTAAATTCCTCTGTAATTTACATAGCTCCCTTCTGTGTGCAGCTCCGTTTATTTTCTATACCTGAAAAGTTTCTGTGAAACTGAAACCGCTCTCCACTTTGGTGTGCATATATACTGTATAAATTCTTATTCATAAAGTGCAAATAGTACTTGGTTAAAACTGATGCATAGTTTGATCTCCCGTGTTTTGCTCCTGATCTGATCCTGATGATTTCTCTGGTAGAAAATAAAAATGGAAAATCACTGTCATCTTCCAGTTTGTCTCCTCTGTCACACATCAGGTGGACTGAACAACTCCGTCCACTTGAAAGTCCTTCCTTTCTAAGCCGTTTGGTTGTAATGCCTCAGTTCACCCTGCTGGGGGCAGCGCTTCTGCTGAGAGGTTACTTCTCGTCCACCACAATGATTTCCTCCAGCATCTTCTCCTCCGAGTCGGAGCAGTCCGACAGCTTGTCCAGGTACTCCACGTCGTCGAAGCGCTCGGCGATGCAGTGCGCGGTGAGGCGGGCCTCCGGGTCGTGGTCCCAGCACTCCTCTATAGAGCCGCACACCATCTGGATGCCCTGCAAGGGGGACCGCAGTCAGACGGTCAGTCACAGAGACGGACTTCCAGACCGATTAACAAACTGTCCTGACATTCCTATCTACTTCTGCTATCGACGGAGAAAATATGCTATTCTTTGTCAGAGATGTTTACTTTCTCTGACAAAGCTAGACCTTCTGAGTTACTGTTGGTAACTCAGAAGGTTTTACTTTTATTGGAGAAATTAAATCCGAGAGAAATCAATTGTCTCTATTGCTGGAAAAAAGTTTGAGGGGTTGCCACCATTTATTAAAAAGGTTTGAATTGTAAAAGAAAAAGAAAAACCATCAGTACCAACAATAATAGTCTTGTGATCGGAAGTTTTGCAGGTTAGATTTCAGCTTCCTCCTGTCACATGCTGCTGTGCCCCTGGTAAGGCACTTAAACCCGACCTCCTTACCGATCTGCGTATACGATTGTGTGAATGTGACTCTAGTGTAAAGCGCTTTGAGTGGTCAAAATGATTGGAAAAGTGCTATATAATCCATTTGCCGTAAATAACTAAAAAGTTGAGAAAAAAGCGATGCGCACTTTGGAAAATTAAGAATGAAAAAGAAAAAATTGCACTTTACAATATGACAACATGAAAGGAGCATTGATTAAAAAAAAAATCTGCTTTTAATCCACTTTTTATTAAAAGGACTTGCTGAGGATGATTTATAAGCTTTTCCATAACCGGAGAAAATAAAAAAAATCTTTCTTGCGACTCCAGAAACCAAACTCTTTTTAAAACGACTTCATGGAACAGCTGCATTTATACTGAAGTTAAATCACACACAAGCGGCTCACTTTAGTAATTATGTGACATCTGAAGGCAACTGGTTGTACTTGATGAAATCCCCCTCCCCCCCCCAAAAAAAAAAAAAAAAAACACAGAGGTTTGAGGTTGTAAGGTGACAAAACGTTGAGAGGTATGAACACTTTTGCAAGGCGCTGCTTCTGTATTTGAAGATAAGTCAAAGAGAAGCAGGCAGCTTTTCAAACATGGCCATACGGAAAAGGACAGAGTGGCTCTTACTGCGTGGCTCGTCCAGCTGTTGGGGATCTCGGGTCTTCCTCTGTCTCGGAGGACGCTGTCCTTCATGCTCTCCACACATGGGTGCTCCCTCAGGTTCCCAAAGGGGGGCTTGTACTCCTTCACCTCTGCATGAAAGATCATACAAAACACGGCACAAGAACCGAAAGGTTAGCATCAAAATTTTAAATTTGGACACATTTAACTGGCAGATACAATATATGATTCTTTTGTAGGTTGCTAAAACTCACAATACATTTCTGGATGATAAATTGTCCCAGTAATTATTGTGATAAACTAATATAGATAATGGCATAATAATGCAAGTTCGCCTTCTTAAACACCAACAAACTGAGTTTGTAAAGAACTCTTAAAACAGGAAGATATTTTAAACATCCCAAGTCAAACACAACAAGCTAAAGCAATAAATAACGCAAAAATAAAAGGCAGACACAACCAAAATCATAAATAAAATGGATTATGATGTCTCTGTAAACAAAGTAATATTAATCAGAATATAAGTTATTGAGCTCATTTTAATTCATCATGCGATTCAGTGATTGATACGACAATCATAGGTATAACTACGATTAACTACAATCCAGAATAAACATTAATAAACAAATCAAACTAATCATAGTGAAATTATTATTTTGCTTCTGTGTGAAAGAAACAAACTTCAGAGAATCTACAAAGCTCACAGAGGTGCAAACAATGGCTTCTGGTACCTTTACAGTAACTTAACCTGAAATTCTCCTTCAGGTAACCTCCACACAATACTGTTATGTTTGGCTTCGTCTAAAGACAGTGGGAATTCTGACCGTCATTAAAGGAAAGCAGAAAACAAGATTGATTCAAAATCTGGACTCAAAAACTGAAAACACAAGATGGTATACTTGAGAATTTCCTCAAAATTCAGAGACCTGTACTGCTTTACAAGGCTGGCACATATTTTCCCCATCTTCAGGTCTTTTTTTTTGTTTTTGTTCCTGAAACATTTGTCAGAGATGTCTGCGGACTCCATATGAGAATCTCTGCGTTTTGTATCTACTGCCAACCTGGCTGCCTTTCCCCCAAACTCCCCGCTTTCTCTTTCTCCATGATTAATGCTCCCCTGCTGACTACTGTCTGCTTTTCTGTTATTCTGCAAGTTCACATTCAGTCTGAAAAGTCCCAAGAACACAGTCGCATTCAGACTTCTTGCACGAACCTGGAGATAACTTTGTTTTCGGAGGCCTGACTAATCCACCGTCTGACTTTTACTAGGCTGTGGCGGCACCGACACTTGTTTTGCGCAGCAAAAGTCATGCGATGTAGTTGCATAAATGTTTATGACATTAGAGGAGCTTACTTTGAAGCATATGGCACAGACATAACCTACCATTAACTATAGCTTATACAGGCCCTAACCTCAATAAAGACAATAACGCCACTTCAGTGAAACCAAACTTGGTGGGGATTTTTTATTTTTTTTCCCCCCCTTAACGTTCGCAGATCATGTGGTCGTCAGAGCAAAAGCTTTGTCCCCAGTGTGCAGTTGGGCAGTTTTTATCGCCAACACCCAATCTCTCTGCTCACACACATGTACGTACAACACCACCGGCCGCTACGGTCGCACACATCTCACAGTTCTGACATCTGGAAAACAGCTGCCTCTAACCTCTCCGCCCACTCTCCAGACTGGGCCAGCCTCTCCCTCTGGGGAATGAAAGCATTTCTACGTCTGCAGCTCCACAACCCGCCTCACTCCACTATTATCCCCCTTCTTGGCCCCACCCCGCCGAGGAACGCCGTCGTAGTCATTTCAAGCCCTAAATCTGGACCGGGTAAATTATACAGTGGAGAGATTCGAAGAAACGGAGACAGAGATATAAAAGATCTAAGAGTCGAGTCCAACTTTTCCTTTTCTTGGCGTTGTGTTGAGCTTCCCCGACTTTAAAGTCGTGGAAGATGAAAAGGACAGGAAAGCCATGTCTGATGCCTGACTGGCTGGTTCTCCTCGTCTCAGATTAGGGCACGGGACGCAAGCAGAGGGCATCAAAGACAAAAGAAAGGGCGCCACCGGGTCACAAAGAATCTGCGATATGTCTGTTTCAGTTCGTGTTAGTTTAGATGTATTCTTGCTCCAATTTTCTCCTAAGCGAGTTGAGTCATGGATGATTCACTCGGCACTTGGGGCAATTTAGAAAAACAAGAGGTGGAGCATGAAAGCATGCAGCTCCTTTTCATTACGCTCTGCATATGTCAATTTAATGCTACTTCTGATTCAGGAATAAATACAGCATATGGCATCGAAGCTGCTGAGAAAAGACGTCCAGGTAGCAGTAAAACCAAACAAAAAGAAAACAGCATGCATTCAGAGTTAGCTTTCTCTCAAAGGAACAGCGCAGATTTTCAGAAACAGGGATTCTGTGGCGTTGTTGATAGCCGTCAGTGTTTTACTCACAGAAGCAGAAGGACATTTGGAGAACCCGACTAACTGCTGGTTAAACTGGAGCCAGTTCTGGTACCGTTAACACATTTTCAACCTCCCACTATCCTTTATTGAGACTCAAACTGTCACTACTCCCACAACTTGTTGAAAAGCTACTTTTAAGTTGATTTTGTCTTATTTCAAGATATTTGATCTCAAAACTAGACAAAAAAAAAATTGTTTGTGTATTTGCAGTCTAGCAGCGCTTTGTCCATTTGAACACTTATAAAGATTGCAATTGCAATTTTATTTACTAAAATTGCAAACTTATAAGGGAATATTTCTACACAAGTTTACAGTTTATTTCATACAATATATTTTAAACACACATGGCTATGTCTCTCCTTTTTTAAAGAAAGAACTGGGAGGATTTAAACTATATAATCTGGAACTCCTTTCCAACCCATAAGGTCCTGATTTGACCCACCAACGCTGCTGGACCCCAGTGGTTATGAGATAATCACAGCTACGAAGACTTGGCCTGATTTGAGCAAGCTGCAGCTGTTTCAAACATCTTGAGGATGGTAGACAACCACTGAGTTTGTTTTAAAAAAAAAGAAAAATCTCAACATAGCTTAGAAAAGCCTAGAACAAGACTGTGATATAGACGCTGTGGTTTGGGGACGTCCAGCTGGGGAATCCCCAGCACATCTTATACGAAGTTCAGGTCAACGTTGTGAGTTGTAAGTCACGACCCTTTGGATCTGTAGTCATGTCGTGTGCTGCTTGAGGACACAGGGTCACTGATACTGATGAATCAGCGTGTACGTCGTCAAACAACTAAATTACTCTTAATCGGTTGGTTTGCGGTTGTGTATTTATCACGATCTGGAGAGGGATTAACTGTTTTAATGCTCGTTTCAAATGAGGAAATGTTTGATCTTTGCTACTTTTATACAAGTAACGGATGTCGAAACACTTCAAACTTTATTGCGAGATAACTGTGTTTTTTGTGCTACTAAAAATAAGTTAACTTGGATAATATTTACGTGTCTGGAGACTTTCAATTTTTGCTCCTAAACTTTTGCTTCCTTTTCAACGATTTCAAGGTCATTTCGCTCACCCGTTCCTGCTGGCAGTTATTACACGAGGGTGAATTTACTGCCTGAGAAAAGCTTAAATTTGAGACTCTCTCACAGGCCAAGTAAGTTATTATTATTTTTTTATTTTGGTAACTTGTTGGGTTCTGCAGCATGCATTATTTTTGGAAACACACCATGAATGAGCAAACATTTGCTCATCAAATGGACTCTTGGGGATGTATAAAATCACATTATCACAGGTTCTCTCACTGTGATATATCACAAGCAATGTCGCATTACCCATCCGTTGTTTGTACAAAGACTTTATCGATAAGCACAAGGATGTTTTCTTGGATTTTAGTCCTAATCAGCTTCACCCTGCTGTCTGTCCCAGAGAGCTGCCAGCTCTGGAGAAATGGGAACAGAGACACAGAAGACAGGAAAAACACACAAACTGCCCCGGCCGCTTTTATCTTTAGTCCACAGGTGGGACGGGAACTCCTGCGCTTCCCCCGACAAGAAAGTCCACCGCACTGGCCATCCTCCCTCCCTGTCTGTCTGCTTGTGGCTGAATTAGGGAAGTCATTGGGCTGTGATAAATGTCGCGTTGCAAACTGTTTAACGGCTGCCTGCCTCAGATGAGGAAAAAGCAGGACAATATGCAAAACATGGTGAAACCTTCAGGATTGAATTTGTGTTTTGTCGTTATTTGGTTCTGTAACCGATATAGCTGTTCAGGATGAAGATAAACATAGTCGGACTCAGAGAATACAGAAGAGTATACAGGGTTTTTACTTGATAGTATACAGTATATGTAAAGATATGAGCTTTTTCCAGAATCAACTTTCTAGAGTTCGGAGTCCTTTATGTTTATTTTAAAACATAAATTATGAAATTTTACCTTAATATTTATGGCAAACATTTTGTGGATGAGAAAAAAAGAGAAAGTAAGTAAGAATGAAAGATTAAAGATAGACTAAAGGAAGAAGGAGACAAAGACAGAAGGAAAATATTGTGCTACGCACAAAGAAAGGAACGAAGAACACAGGAAAGTAAAGAAGAAAGAACTTGAAGGACAGAGGGATACAGGGTAGGACAAAACCCCCCACAACATTTAGATACAGGACAGGGAAAACTGTGTAAAAAACCAAATATGTTTCCATTCTTTTATTTACTTTTTCCATACGTAGTCAGATCTGAAAAACACTGAAATCAAATTCCAGACTTTCCCAGACGGCGTAGGAACCCTGCGACAAGTTTAGTCTTTAACCTCTGTCATTATTCTCTGCCTGGCCCACTGTCAAAAGACATTAAAGAAAGGATAGATCCAAAATTTCCAAACTGTTTCAAACCTCACACTAAAAACAGTTTGTCTTGGAATAGTTTGCTAAAACAGGAAATGGGCTATTTTCTTTTCAAATGCACCCACAGGGCTCACATAGTCTTACAGCTGGAAAGGAAGAGGGGGTTTGGGTCACATGGGTCGCACACTGTTGGTTAGCGCAACGGCATTGATGCACTTCAAGGAGATCCCCCCACGGAGAGGGGTCCTGGTGGGGGCAAAACAGGAAAGCACCAAAGCAGGAGCGCTCATGCCGAAAGGCGGCTCTCCATCTCTGCTCTGACACAATGGAGACGGAGAACCGAAACGGGACCGCTGAGACTTCGGAGGGAAGTGAAAACAAACGGTCGAGCATGGACATGAACTCCCGCACAATGCTTGAACTGTCGATAATCACTCATTTCTATGATTTGCACACATTCTGACCTTGCTTCACACACACACACACAGAAGTTACGGCACATTAGGGCGGCAGCGGGCTGATCCCTGACACCTCCGCTGCAAGACAGATCGCCTGGTTGACGCTTTCAGGCTTGGCTCCAGTCGTGACTAATGGGGTGATTGATGGAGGTTTTGTCGGCATCTTGTAATGAACACAAAGGGGAGCCGAACGCTGCACTCCGACTGCATAAAGTTAACACTCTGCCTTTCTCTACAGGCCAACTTTTATCTTTCTGTGGAACTTGAGAGGAAATTTCCAGAGACTTCAAAGGGAATTTTATCAAGAAGTGCTTGTACTGTTTTTGCAATGCTTAGCATCAAGTCAATGGAAACAAAAACCTGTCACTGTGAACAAATGCAGTTTGTATAAATTACTAGATTACTTGTAGACACACCTACATGGTGTCTATTGGGGTCACATAACTGTGACATAACAGTTTCACTTCTGCTTTTAGTTTGGGGGAAAAATAATAACCGTCTTTTACTGTAAATCCAGCTGTTCTGTGAAGGACTCGGGGGTTAATTAGAGAACATTAGTGAACAAAAAGCCTCATGAATGCCAAGGAACCCAAGGGATAACCAAGAAATACTCCAGAGAAGTCGAAGAGAAAATTGTGAAAACCCTTTTAGGAACAGCTGGGTTACAAAACAATATTCCAAAACCTTGAACATCGCAAAGAGAACAGTTTAATCTAAATACTTTTAATGGCAAACCTACGAAGACATGAAGGTCAACCTAAACTGACACGAGGGAAGTGGGGGAGCAGCAGAGATTCACAGATCAGGTGAGAATCTGCTTATGACAACAATGGGGGCCTTCACAGATCTAGTTATATGATAGAGTAGCAGGAAGAAAGCCATTGTCCCGCTGCCAACGGGACTTCACATCCTGACAACAGTAAAACAGAGAAGCTGGAATGTTGATGGGAAGATGGACGCAGGATGTTACTGGAAAGAAAACTGGTATAGAAATACTCTAAAAACTTTAATTGTAACAATAGGTGGTTCTACTAAGTATGCATAGGGAGGCTGAACATTGTTTTAGTCTCTGAAATAAAACATCAGTACAATATATATTTTTTTGCAATATGACAAATTCTGAAAAAAATCCAGGAGAAAAAAGTCCTTCTGCAAAAACTGTGGAAATTATCTTCACGAATCAGGAAATGTTGCTCTTCACGACTTCCAGCAAAATTTCTTCTACTGTCCTGCTATATTAATATCAAAGATGTGACAGAGCATTTAATTTCCAAAACAATTTAAAAGTTTCCACAGGCCAAATGGGTCTGGGGCTAAATTTGGATCTCTCTTATATGCTGCCCCTTCTGGCACCGATTCAACACGAACATGCAGTCCTTTTATAGGATTTTTGTTTTCTGTGGATGAACTGCTGACCTTTCTGTGATGCACTCTTGGTTGAACCTCTGTTCACCCACTGCAGAATATATTAACCACAATGGATATATATTTAAAGTGAATCATTTTCTGGCAGAAAGATGCAATGCTTAAAAAAAAAATGAAATCCTTATACAATTCTCAATACTGAAAAGAAAAGGTTTTAATTCACCCAGAGTTGTTTCATAACCAATTGGTAATATTCCATATTTCTATTATCTCATATACTATCTAGTTCCTCTTGATTGGGGGAACAAAACAGCTAATCTAACGACTAAAAACTATGGATAAAACGGACATCATCGAATTTCAGATAACGACGAACATATTTACTGACAAACTATGCTATATTTGGTATTTTATGGATATAGTTAAATAAATGAGTGCCTTTGTGACAGGCTGCAGGCAAAAAGTATCTAAATATCTTATATATAATTGGTTCTTTGCTAAGCTGTTTATCATGCGAGTCAAAACACTGGTTCTTTCATCGAGTGTAGGAGACTTTTAATGCGTGAATGATTCATGAGTCAGAAAAAAAAAAAAAAACGGCCTTAGCAAACAAACGGATGTCTCTTTTTCACCAAGCTCAAATGATAAATGTAGTTTTCTAAAATGGTTTTGATTTATGAATGGATTTATGTGTATACGCATGCATATCTGTACCCTTCAAGAAGTATTTGTGTTGAATATGAGGTTAGACAGATTATTTCTTCTATTTGTGTAATTTTAGGACTTTTATGCAATCGTCTCAAGACGCCAAAGGGAATTTTTCATGTTACCTTAAAATTTAATCTGTTAAAGTGTCTTAATATTAACAGATAGTGATACAGTCTAACTCCAGCAGCGATATGGACTTAGACTTTTTTTTTGTGTGATATTTTGTGGCTCTATAGTTATAACAACAAAGAATATGATTTAAAGAATGTTATTTTTTAGGTAACTCTGTTAATGTGACTGCATGGTGCAGCAATCATAGAGCCACAAAAACAAATATTGCTCTTGAAAACATTCCTATTTACGTCCGTGCTCCCCTCCGTTTTGTACGATTCTGTTTCCATATTTATACTTCCAACCACGAGTTCTGTGATGCGAAGCATTGCTTTTCTATTTTGACAGAGACGCTTGCATAGTTTCCATCTTCACGTGATTAAATGCGACCGGGAACAAAAATCTATTTCAATTTTCGCAAAGAAGAGGAAGTAAAATGTTTTCCTATATGCTTGTCTGCTCTAAAAATATTTTTTATTTCTTCCATCATTTGGAAAATGTGGGAAAGCTTCCTGAGAAACACATATTTACAGGAGACAGAAGCAGTGAGTAAGTCCCAAATCCAGAACTTCTGTTCTCTGTCCAGACAAAATGAATAAGTTAGTCCGTTTATCCTTATGATTTCCTGTGTGATAACATGGAGCAGATTGGCAAGCCAGACCCGACTGCTACATCTCACGCAACTAAGCGTACAAACATCGAATGAGTAATAAATAATTCACATAAAGTTTAAACCATCAGCTCAGTTGAAGATTCTCAACTAATGAGAGCAGATATTTGGGTAAAATCAGGATCTGGTTTGGATCAAATAAAAAAAAAAAAAAAAAAAGAAACAAACAAACATGTCAGCACAACTTTTAGGTTAAAATGTTAATTTTTTTTCCACATATTTTTTTAATTAAAACCTCAATTTACCTGATTCTTTTTCACTAATAATTTTCAGTGTATATCAAATATCTTTTTAGGAGACAAGCACTCGGTACCAAAGAGGCGCAGGAACCTGGTGGTTTTACACTGCAAGTTTAAAAAGCTTCATGAGTTATTACCAAGCATCTGCTCTTATTTCAAGCACCATTTCATGCAATGTTGATGGTTTAATTTGTGCTTTTACACAAATCCTAAACACCTGGAGTATGTTTAGGATTTAACTGCATGAAAGGACCACAAAGCAAAACAAATCAAGACGTCAAAAAAAAAAAAATAACCCTGAAAATCCACAAATCTTGCCTTCAGTTGCAAAACAAAGTACCTTTAAAAAGAAATAATCAAATTTTAATGCCTGAATTTACTTGCAGTGCAATATCTCTTAGGGGTGTCTGAGAGTTTCTGTACTTCCCGCCATCTTACCTCCGATCGCGCTGCATCTGGAGATGATCTCCCACAGCACCAGAGCCATGGAGTAAACGTCTGCTTGTTTGAAAGACTCGATGTTTTCCAGATTGATTCTGGACTCCAGCACCTCGGGAGCCATGTACCTGGCCGTGCCCACCTGGGAAAAAATAAATAAGATAAAAATGAGACAAGCACACAGACTTAACACGACTGTCTTTAAAAAAAAAAAAAAAAGCCACCCTCTACACGACTGTCTCACTGAAGGAGCAAACTTTCATCCGCAGTAGCAGTAATTGGGTGACACGCGGTCACTCCGTGCCTGTGCATTTGTCACAACAAGTTTTATTTGAATCAAAACATGATGGATGTGAAGCATAATTAGAAAGTAAATGTGTCCCTGAGCTCATCAATGCGACGCTTCTCTTTAATAACCTCATTATCAGCTCGGAAAAGAGAATCCTTCACATGCATTAAGAGCATTAAAATGCATTAGCCGTGCCGTGCAGCCTATGATGAGGCCTTTTCAAGATGAGTCATTCTAAAAACAGAGTGAGCTGTTGCATCAGAAAATTGAGTCCATTACGCTCAAATCCTTGTGGTAGGAAAAAAACAGCCTGAGGCCGCTCATTAAGATACGGAACGTTGATTTTCTTTCCCTAAACTACCTTGGCGCCAAACAAAACATTCATTTTCCTTGAACTTTTAGAACATTTTATTACACTACCAACAAAAACTGAGTGTTTTATTGGAATAATACATGCTTTTTTTTATATTCTTTACAAATATAGATCTGAAATGTGTAATGTGTTTTGGTTTCGAAACACACTTGGTAAATAATACTGCAATTACATCTGCAAGCTTTATGGATAATTCCCTATTAGTTCTGCAGACTCGTTTCTTTGTGGATCGGTCTTAGCAAAATAATTCAAACTCAGTCAAATATCTAGTTTTATCAACATTTGATCTTATTAAAAATGCTTTTTAATTAAAAATACTTTTTAATAAGGTTTTATTTGGACACACACTTCCAATTCTATCGCCCATTTTGCAAAGTTCATCTATCCATCGGTTCTAAAGAAAAGGCTCCCCACAGCATGATACTGCTTTCACTATGTTTCACTGTGACAATACTATTTAATCAATCTGAAGAAATTTTTGTCTAATAAACCATTAATTGATAATTAATTGTAAGTTTATTAATTGTTTGCATCCTGAAATCAAGCCTTAATTTAAATGTCTCCACTTTTTGTCTACTGTGTTCCTTGCTCTTATGACTAGATGTTATTTAGGGCAATCGGAGTAAAGGGGGCTGAAAAACTAATTCATTCACAAGTTTCAGATTTTGATTCCCTCTAATTTTGAAAGCCATACATAATTTTCCTTCAGCGTCACAATTATGCACTGCTTTTTCTTCACCCAATCAATCACATTAAATTGCAAAACTAAGCACAGTGAGATATTTTGGAGCTGAAATTAAACGATGAATCAAGGAGCAGGAGGTCTTACCTGTCCGCTGTTGGCCAGCTCGTCCACAGACAGAGAGTTGTCCAGTCGAAGTGCGAGGCCAAAGTCACACAGGCAGCAGGTCATGTCCTTTTTCACGAGTATATTTGAGCTTTTAATGTCCCTGTGAGCGATGGGAACCTTGCAGCGGCCGCAGGAAGTGCGGTCACTGTGTAGGTGTGCCACCACACGGGCCAGCGAGCTCCCCAGCAGCCACAAGTCTTGCCAGGAGATAATGTGATTGGTTAGGAACTCCTGGAGGTTCCCCAGTGGGTGGTAAGCCGTGATCAGCCAGTACTGCCTCTGCCCCTTCCTCTCCTCGGCCGTCAGGAAGTGAAGCACGTTCTCGTGCCTCAGGTCCGCATCTGAGAAAATGTCCTTCTCGTTCTTCCAGGAGGCGTACTCCTCGAACTGGAAGATCTTGACTGCCACCGTTTCAAAGCCGTGCTCCTCCCGGACCGACGAGCCTTGCTTCAGCTTGGCTTTGTAGACCTCGGCAAAGCGGCCCTTGCCGACCAGAACGTCCAGCTCGATGGGCAGGAGCTCGGTGTTGTGGTTCAGGTTGTTGGCGTGTGTGGAGCTGCTGTCTGAACCCTCAGGGTCTATGATGGGGTGCTTGTCGGTGTTGTCCAGCGGCTTGCGCGGGTTTGGCTGCTGATTGCAGACCCGGTAACAGTAGAACGAAGTGATGACAAAAATGGCTATGACCAGAAGAGGCACCAGGCTGACCACGATGACGGGCCCAACCTGAGAATCTGTGACGAAGACGGAGAGGATGAGCACATCAATACTCTGGATGAATCAATAAAATAATAAAACTGACTTTATAACTACACTTTAGTAATGTGTCAACTTTTTGTTTAAAATTTTAAGTTCATAGGGCCCCAGGTGGGTCAACGGTGGAGTGTGTGCAGGTTTGATTCCCGGCACATTTTCTGCATATCCTCTGCTTCCCTCGCTGCCTTTCATCCTGTCAAGCTACGAATGAATAAAGGCCACTAGTGCCACAAAAATAAAATCAAATAAAAAAATAAATATATAATTTCATTAAAGCATTAATATAAAATAATCAGTAACACTTTATTTGAAGGGGTGTGCATAAGACTGACACGAGACTGTCATGAACATGACATAACAGCTGTCATGAACATGAAGGAGTCTTCATGAATGCTTACAGCTATCGTCATGAAGTGTCATTTGATAAATAATGACACTTTTGATGCAGAGTTGACACTTTTAATGCAAGTTTTAATGGAACTTTGCATTGAAATTGTCATAATTTACCAAATGACACTTCATGACAACAGCTGCAAACATTTATAAAGAGTCATTCCTTTATAAATGTTTCATGATAAGTGTTATGTTTATTACAGTGTCATGTCAGTCTTATGCACAACCCAGATAAAACGTTACCAGCTGATCTGTAGATTCCAGAAAGTGATCATGGCCTGTTCACCTTTTTCCACTTTCAGTGAAATATGTGCAGCATCTATCCTTAACAAATCAACTGAAAAGCAAAAATATAATCAGGGAGGGCGAATGTAAAAACAGAAAAAGCTTGTTAACCACGTTGCAACAGTGCACACCTTTAGACAAAAACTGTTTTAGTCTCCTTTTGAATCAATTTCAAACTTCTATCTTCTTCGGGACAAGCCCAACGTCAGGCTTTTCCAGGAGGTTTTTCCTGCTACTTGTGAGAATATCCTGCTGTACTCTCCATATGCCATGAATAACAAGCAGGACAAAATAGTTTTCTACCAATACTGTCCAACATAAAGGTAACTAAATGGTTTCATACAAGTTTTGAGTGTAAACAGCTATGAATTCTTGTGCGAACAGCAATTCAGCTAACTAACTTCCCTGAAATTTATCATGAACTGCATTTTTTTTTAAGTTCTTTTATGGCTCTCATTTTCAGAAAAATGCTGGTGCTACTGCTCATTCATACTGCTGTTCTGCCCTTGGGTTCATTAACTTTGGAAATGTATTTAATATAATATTTTTATGCTAATTAATTACAAATAATTACACTTTCTTTTAACTGATTACAGTAAATTGCACTTTTCCTAAACGAGCGTTTTTATCAGTTAATTAAGGTAAAATTACAGTTTTTCTGACACAGACCTCTTCTGTTCATTAACAGTTTTTGTGGGCAGTGCTGATTTTTAGCTGCAGCTTGGAAAGTTAATCTCCACTTTGTCAAACTAAAGATGTTCAGCGCGTCATAACTTCATAACACAAACTTAAAGAAATTGTCACTAGAAAAAGAGTTACTGTTAACTGTGCTGTAGAATGCAAATGTGAAATATTGTGATCTTTGTTGTGCGTCTTTAAATACAAGGTAAAGCTTTCTATTGGTACACAATGGAGAACAGGAGTTGGGACATTGAGCATATACTCTCAAACCATAGTAATAGTTATTACAGAGAAGTTCTGCTAATCTGGCCACAGACTTTGCCTTTACTGCAGAAAAGTTTTATTTTATAAACATGTCTGTTTTGATTGACAATATAATTGAAGAGGAAAAATGAAAGAGGCTAAACTGTTTACACTGGGATTTTGGAGCGTTTGGAGATGTTTATGTTTGTCGCTTTAATCATCCAAATTGTGTCCCAATTTGAGACACAGTTCTTTTTGTCTTCCCCTCAGGCTCCTTGATCTTTGCAGATTTTTCCCCCCCCATACTGTATGTATGCATAAGAGCTCTTTCTGTATGGACTTAATCTATCATGCAGCTGATGGTCCCTTGGTTGCAGGAACATTTCATGAATAATCCTCCCAGTGGGTTAATTTAGACCTCTTTAGGTCCTCATCAGTAGAGAATACATCGGGATGGATATTCTCTAAAACGCTTGAAAAAGATGGACATTTAACTAGTGCAAGTGAAGGTTTTTATCTTTGCAACTCCATCTGATGGGGATCGTAATGAAAACATGACTTTTTAACCAACCCCCGCTTTTCCCTTTTTTTCTTTTGATTAGCACAATCATCATCCGTTTTACACAGATTACAAATTGCCAATTCAGATTCGCTTGCGGTATGCTCATCTGTCCAGCTTAGAGCACGACAGTACTCTTAGGTCAGCGGAGGAACTGCTCTTTGGTTGTGGAATGTCCATTTAAATTAACGTCTGGACCACAGATCCAAAAACGACTCCAAACCCCGACCCAGCCGACCGCATATTGTGCCTCTTTATAGAATTTGTTGTATTTTTGTACGCGAGGAGAGGGTGTGTCTGGAACCTGCGACTGTTTTGGCAAACAGCACCATTTGCTGCATTTATAGTTATACATTTACATCAGTACAAGTAAGGAGTAGCAACCCTTTCCAGTTTGATCAGGTTCAAACTGGCTTTTGATACTTTACATTAAGAGATCTTCATGTTTTGGACGTCACATTTTACTGCTGCAAACATAAAGTGCAAAAAAAAATAAAAAATAAATACATATCTTAACATATTCCGCTTGTTACAATAAGAACACATTTTTATGGAGGACACTGTGAGACAAAGGGCCTGGAGTCAGTCTTGAACAAGGCAGAAATATTAATGTAAAACTCATCTCTCTGACTCCCCAGACCAAGCCCTCGAGCGCTCTATAATTTTTTTTCTCCTTTTTTCTAAACAGGAAACCGCATGTCTGAAATCCTCTGCAGGGCCCCAGACAGACAGTTTGTTTTGACTTTCGTAGAGTGAGAAGGTTTTTTTTCACAACAACCTGTCACTGTGCCTCCTGACGCAGACATTTGAGAAAAACCCTCAAGTTGTTGTCTACGACGTTAGCAGGCCTGCGTGCTAATGTTACATAATGTTACATAAGATCAAATCGGTGTCATAAAATTCTTATTTTACCTTAAATTAAAAGTTGTTTACGCTTGCTAATTTAAAAAGCCTTCACTACAAAAAGGAATGGTTTTATGGGTTGGTAATCTGACCTTTAAAATTGTCATTTGGTGTAGTTAATTCATTCCACAGTCATCTGTTAGTTAATTTAACTTTGAGACAGAGGCTGATTAAAAACAGCTGAAGTTATGAAATCCCTAAAATGAAAAAAGAAGGGAACTGACCTCTCTAGTAAAAATATGCTAAAATATTCAATGGAAAATGCTGACAATAAAATGTTATAAAAGGCACAATGCAGACTTAGTTAAAAGGTGAATAGGGGAGAAGATGGATATGTTGTGTTTAGAGGAATAAGGGTTCATCAATCATGATGCACAAAAACCCCAAACAAGCTTAAAACTGGGTGAGTACGTTTGCAGGAAAGCAGCCATTTGACAGCGGTAATCTTTCCAGGTGTGGCTGCGGTCAAATCTAATGATTGTACAATAGAGAGCAATGTTTTCTTTTTCAATTTTGCAGCTTTTCACGGCATTGTATTATAAGAATACTCGCTGTTTGCTGTAGGAGCGTCACGGTGGCTTTTAACGGCTGACATTGCACATCAATCCTTAAAACCACAAAACGCACAATGTTCAGCCACACAAACAGTTTTGACGTCACAAACGTCCATAACTTTGAAATTCCGAGGACTTTTGAGGCAAAAATTTATTTTCGTTTCTGCTTCTCTCACTTCAGTCTCGTGACTTCTGAAGAACTCCTTCAAGGGAGTTTTAAACTACAGCTTTTCTTACTTCCCGTAGTAGCTTGCTGCTCTACAGTGCCAACGTTAGTTTGTATATAAGCAGAAACAAAATGTGGTTCTGGATAGTTTAGTTTTATTTACATTCTATTCTGTGCATACTTTTGTAAAGTTCGTTGTGATGTCCTTTTGCTAACAATGGGGTAAAAACCCTTTTGTTTTTGTTTCTAAATAGTCTAATTCAAGAGCAATCATTTGCTGACAAGATTAAGATGGTCATTGTTTGTTGTGCGTTTGCCACACAACTTGTAACCAGATTTAACTTTTATTTGTGTTTTAAATGACATGCAGCTCCCCCATTAAACCACGTTTGTGAAATTAGCGCTGGCTAACTTCAGATTTTTGGCTGACCTTTCCAAGATAATTTTCTCATCATTTTCTAATGAATTAACTTTGAACTTCCAATGTCGCTCTTTCCCGTCCTCTATGCAACTGTTACAGTTTGCCACGCCTACTCTGCTATTTAAGACAAACTCGCAGAACATAATGAGCGTAGACATTCAGTTCAGTCAGCCAATATGCCACATCTACAAAAAAGAAAAAAAAAAAAGAGAAGCATGTCTGTCTCTTTCTCTGGAACAACTGTTTAGAATATCAGCTGTCTGACAGGGATGTGTTGTGGCATGTTTGCTCTGGAGTTTCATGAAAAAAGCCCACCCGCCTGCAGTCTGTCTGCTGAGAGAACTTCCCCCTTGACGTTTAAACTTCTTCAACTGTTTAGGGTTTTAACAAGGACACAGATAAACTTGTGTTACGGATTACGTTTTATGAGCTCTTGAACTCATTTGTAGCCATTTGTGTTGCATCAGGAGAATACACTTTCACTGGATGTTCAGAATCTTATTTTCAAGAATCTTGCATTATATCTTGCATATAATACCGTATTTTCCGGACTATATGCCGCTACTTTTTTCCTAAGCTTTGAACCATGCGGGTCATAGCCCGGTGCGGCTTTTATTTTTTTTTTTTTTTTTTTTTTTTTTTTTTTTTTTAACTTTGGGGGTGGGGCTTATAGTCTGGAAAATACGGTATTTTTTAATTTTTTTTTTCCAAATGATGAAGAACAATGTTCATTTTCTCCTGGCCTTCTGAAGGTTCTCATTTGTAATCCAGCACCAATTTTCACGGGACAGTTTTTTGCCTCTCACTTGTTCAGCCAGTTATCTGAGATTTATGAATCATTCAGCCATTAAAAGGTTCCTATACTGAACCAGTTTTGTGTCTATACATATCAGAAAGCAGAGCTATAAGTCAATAGTCTTCAAGTCAAGTCCTGTCATGTTTTTCAACAAGTGTTTTGCTTTAGTTGCACTCCCATTCCAAATAGTGCTTGTGAGTTGGGATCAGTGGTATGGAGTCGAACGTTCTGCTGCTTCAATATTGTACAGTTTTGTTTTATTTCTATTTACTTTTTCCATATCTAAGGATCAACTGGCCATCTTGGGATGAAATTACAATGATCTACGATTGTGTCAATTTCTGGTATTTTAAATTTAAAGATACGCAAAGCATCTTCATAACAGAGATGGAGTAACGGTAAAATTGCCATATTGCTGTGAAAATTTAAGTTGTGTTGATTCTGTTGGACATAAGTTCAATAAAAATCAAGAGTTCGGTTTATCTGATAATCAAACAGTGTGTGCTAAAGTGTCCCATGCATAGATGCTGAAATATTATTTTCTTGAGGCATTCTGTTTTTGTGCATCATTGAAACAAGAGGCAGACAAACAACAATATAAGCATTTTTGTCCTTCAAATGTCCACTTTTCTTGTTTATACACCATCAAACTATCTGTAGATGTCACCTAAAAGCACCTAAAAGGAGTTAAATTGAAATTAAATGCAAAAATATATATAAAATAAATAAATAAATATTCCACTTGTATTTTTCTTTGAGAACAACAAACATTACCCAAAGGCTACGGTGAGATAAAGGTTTTAAGAATCCTGTGTTCTGTGGATGCCTAACAAAATTAACCACTGGTTAAAAAATAACAAGCCAGATTCACTGAAACTTACTGGAATCGTTACTTACTAACTCGCATTTAATCACAGCAGCCTGCATTGCAGCAACACCCATCTTTACTCACTGAAACGTTACAGAGACTGCTCAGACATTCTCGAGAGTACGCAAACGCATTTCCATGACGTGGTTTGCACTCCACAGATGCTTCTAATTTGTGCTCTCTGCTGTTCCAAGCCAGGTCTCAGAAATCCACCGCTACGCTGTTACTGCAGAGATGCTGCAGTAAAAATACAGGAGATTCCAGCGCTAACCGGAGACGAGAAGGAAAGGTGTGTCCTGAAGCGGTTTGTAAGCAGAGAGACGCAGCCCGAACATGCTGACATTCTGGCGTGACATTTACACGACGAGCCGACAGTGACGAATATATCAGTTTACCTGTTGCTGTGATTATTGAGTGATTACAAGATGATTCACTTACAATCAGAAGAAGAGCAAAGTAGATCAAGTCGTACGGGTGTTTTATAACTTTTAAAACAAGTAACCCTATAAACCGAACCCTTCTTCAGATTACTGTAATTAATCTGCAGGGTAGACGCCAACTGACTCATTACACTAATTTAAAGTTATAACGTCTGCAGCTCCCAGCTTGTTCCATCTAATTGCTTCGGCTTTACAGCTAACAATTTTAATGTTTAGTTTTAATCTCGTCATAAGAGCTCCAGCCACTTCACCCTGTCATGGCGAAGACAACTTGCTGAAGTTCAAGCCAGACATCAGAACCGGGATGAGGAGGATTGGAAAGACTTTGGATGTGGCATCCTTATTGGTGGTCTAAATATTTTAGCAATTTATGACCTAGTGAGATTTTTTTTTTTTTTTTTACATACAATTGACTAAAAGTTTACAAGGAGTGTTCCACAAAAGAAAAATAGAATAAATTGAGATTTTTTTTTTTGTGGAACATTCCTGGTTCATTGAAAACAGAAGGCAGAAAACCATCTCTACGACGACGACGACGAAAGATCACACCAGGTGACACTCCTGCCAGCTGAAACCAGAAAACCAAAACTAAAATTTAGACATGTTCACCAAAATTGGAGAATATTAAATTGGAAAATTGTTGCCCCGTCTAGAAGTGTCTTTATTTCAGCTGCCAAACGAAGTCGAATCATGATGTATTGTGGGCAAAGTGAAAGCACAAATAAGCATTCTTAAAATGTGTCCATGGAGATCTAACTAAAAAATTAAAAAAACACAACATCAGGATCTCAAACATGCAAACTGCAAATACAAAACAACAGAAGACAAAATGTCCAACTCACTTAGGTTGAAAATGATGTGATCGTTGCACTCCTCCTCGTTGGAACAGGAACAGATGAAAAACTTTGAGTCTTTGGCTTTTTTCTCTTTCATAATGCACTTTGTGTTGTTGTAATCGTCCAGGTACAGGCCGTACAGGGGAAGAGCTGGATCGTGACAAACCGTTTCAAATGTAACATTGTCGTCTTTCTTCCGCCTTGGAAAGAGAAAACAGAGACAGCAAAGCATATTGATTACCTGTGACCTATGACCTTAAAGAGTCTGAATGCCTTCGCAAACATCTTCACATCGTGTAAAAAAAAAAAAAAGCAAAAAAAGCTTGTGTCCCTGCTGGAAAGGGGCTGCGATGTTGTGCTAAATTTACCTTGTTGTCACTTTGTCTTTTCTTAAAAGGGAAAATTCATTTTGAAAATAATGAATAATGACGGACAGAGTTTTTATTTTTTGGTCCACTCTTTTTTTGCAGGATTGTTCTAATTCTGTCACACTGGAGGATTTTTGAGCCTATTTATCCCACAGTTTTTAAATTACATGTAAGTCCAGATTATGACTAAGCCACTACAAAACTCTAATTTTCTGCTGGAGCGGGGCGTCCAAAACTTTTACAGGCCATCGGCCCCCAAACATGGCCCCTCTGAGACAGTGCTTCAGAATATGTAAACATCACCTTTTTAATGTTTATTCCTCACTTTTATTCACTATTCAATAATTATTACTTTGGTTCAGCATAAACGTTGCCTCATACCTTCTGATTTTAGTTGGCCATGAATCCTGTGGATTATCATGTAAAAAGTAATGACTTTATTAATCTGGTGTTTTTGATATAATATATGACCTGATAATAAAACTTTTCCACCACAATCCCCTCTTTTAATTATAAGAACATGTGCAATATTTTATATTAGTCACACATTTACTTTATGCACTGCAGCTCTTAGGGGTTTTTCTGCTGGACAGTTCCTTCAATATTTTTCTTTGTGTCAGAAACTCACTTGTTCATTTCCTGTTTGCTGTGCTAGCTTGTGGATGACTGGCAGCCAATCATGAAAGATAAGCATGTCAAATAGCCTTTCAGGACATTATTTCATCTTATTTTTCACAATAATTGTTGAATAATACATTAGATTTTATTGAAAAACATATATAGATATGATTTTAAAAATGTATAGGATTCTATTTAATTTTTGCATTTTCCCTCCCATCTTCTTTCCAACTTTTAAAGGGAAGATGAGGCCCTTTTCATGGTTTATTTATGGTAAATTGTGAAAAGGTTTTCCTCGTCTTGATGCAGAAAAACACACTCTTACACCATCACTGTTCTTGTTCTGATGATCTTTGTTTTCTCTCGAAATGCTGTGTAGGTTTTATGCAAGAGAATACTGAAAGCTGGGCAGGAAACGATCTTCACCTGCCCTCGTAAAATGATGTTTGTCTCACTGTGTGGTAATGACAGCCTTGGAAACGGCATTAACGTCTTCCATAGTCCACACAAAAAGCTAATATTTCACAGATTCAGAAGAAACAAACTTAAGAAGCAATAATTGGTTTTTATATACCCAAAAAAAGTATTTATTTTCACCCTGAAGCCTCTGAATTTCTCTTTTATCCAGAGGATTTAGGACAATTTGCTGATTGTCCTAAATCAGCAAATTTAGGACAATTTGCTGATTGTCCTAAATCAGCAAATTTAGGACAAGCAGGTGTACAAACCAGCTGGTTTGCACACCTGCTGGTGTGCAAACCAGCAGGTGTGCAAACCTGCTGGTATAGGGTTAGGGTTAGGTGTGGGCAGGTGTGGGCAGGTGTGCTTCCTGCAGGAAGCAGGAAGCACACCTGCTTCCTGCTGCTTTGCACACCCAGAGTCAGATGTGAGGTCAGTATGAATACTGACCATTCATGCTGAATGGTCAGTATGAAAGCATACTGACCATTCAATTACCTCACATCTGACTCTGGGTGTGCAAAGCAGCAGGAAGCAGGTTTGTATTGGTGCTAAAAGCTTAAGGCCACGCTGGTGTTTCTCACTACATTGCCAGTGTAGCAGTCTTGATATGAGCTGAGGTTAGCAGAAAGCTAATGGTGCACGGATAGCAGCGCCTCTTTAAATTGTCCTTCAGAAATCACAAATCCAGAATCACTCAGCAGGAATTTAGACGGGCAATATGTAGATTTGTCCAGCTTGACTTTATTCCAAACTCGCTCTTTTGTAGAGCTCCTACATATTCCTTAAAAGTATGACATTTACTGTGCTGTGAAAAGTATCTTGACTCCTTACAGGATTCTCCTGTTTTTGCTTTTTGTCAGCTTTACATGCTTCGGATTCAAACATCAGAACATCAGATAAACTGAAAATCAGATCCCAAATGATGAGTTATCATGAAAACGGAGCTTACCAGATGCTGACACACACTTCGTTATATTCGGGGCAGATGGCGGTAATGTCACATTCCACCTTGCAGACTCCCCTACCGGGACAGTTGGTGGCCCGCAAATCACAAAACCTGCACAGCTGTCTTACAGGGATCGCGGAGGTATCTGAAATGAGAGGGAAGGAAAAAGGATGGAGAAAGTTGGATTGGTTACCAGATGACACACAAATAATAAATGACAACAGCATTCATGTTTTACAAGCAAAAACAAACAAACAAACAAAAAAAAGCAATGAAAATAAAAACGGTATTCGTCTTCAAGTGGAGTCATTCAAGAGAGCGAGAAGAAAATCCAAAATATTTCATCGCAGGGTGGCGGGCGCATTCTTTCAAGATTTTTGTTGATCTTGTCCGGACTTGACTTTGCCAGCAGGCACGTTCAGATCAGTCAGACAGACTGGATTGTGTGATGAGCGCCTGCGGGCTTGATAATCACCTAAGACCTGAGACAACTGCCAGACGGGTAAGTACAACAAACAGAGGAATAGCAAAGCCATCTGCTGGCTGGGAAGCCTTTAATTTGTCATTCCGATGAGTCGGCTCCCCCATTTAAATACGTGTTGTGCCAAGGAACTATTAAAAACAACAAAAGAATGTAATTGGTGATCGTGAGTGATTGGAGGAAGGAAGGGAAAATATGCATGTTTTTCCAAGACAAAAACATTAAAATAGCCTGATTTTTGGTCATCAAAAGACCTCTCATCCCTAAAAAATTAATTAATTAATAATCACTGCAATCGCAGGTAAAGATTTTTTTTTAAGCTTAGAATTATTTTCATCTTCTACTAAACTGGAGTAATCTCACAAAAAAAAATGTAGAAAAGCCCTTAATTTGAGTACTTTCAGAAAAAACTAAATGAGAAAATGTTTTTTTTTTCATTACTGCTGCCACAGTTAATGACAACTTATATAAGACAAGACTTTGGTATACTTTACTTTTAAAAAAAATGATCAGGCTTTTGAAGACTGCTAACCATGACTTCAATTTTAAAGTCCAATTTCGCTTCAAAACGAACAAGACAAGAGAACATGTCTTGGAGCAGTGGTTCCCAAACTTTTTCTTCTGCGCCCCCCCAGTGGTTTCCAAACATTTTCTGCGCCCCCCCTATGGATTACAAATGGCTGTCTGGTTGAAACGACGCGTGACGGAGGGGCAGGGGGGACATCGACTGTTTTGGGGGCAAAATGAATGTACGTAGCTGAAAATAGACACCAACATCGGTAGCCTACTTGTTAAGCTTAAGGTTCTGTATTGATATTAGCTAGTCATCTTTTAGCTAACATTACCTGCATCCAACAACTTTACTCGACTCAGTCGGTTAGTTTGGAGGGAAAAACTGTGAAAAGTTCTTTGCGTTTTGCTGGTTTGCTGCCGTGATTCTAACACAAACCTACGTAGCTCCGCACAGCAGCAGCAGGTCTCCTTCACAGGTGTAAACCCAGCGCGAGTAGCGCTCATGTTGCGTTTAAAGGCGGCTCGGAAAAACAGGTTACAACATGTTAACAACGGATTAAACAGTTTTAACTGATAAAAGTGACAGAGGACACAAATATGGGAAGTGTGGAAGCCCCTACTGTATCAAATTGACATAGGAATAAGAGAGAGTTGGCCATTCTAAGGTAAAAACCCAGCGCATACAGTGTTCATGTTTTTTTTTTGTTTGTTTTTTAACCAGACGGCTTCCCGCGCCCCCCCTGCAATGACACGGCGCCCCCCCTAGGGGGCGCGCCCCACAGTTTGGGAACCTCTGTCTTGGAAGATGTTTTTTAATCTTCATACAGCAGAAATTATCAACAAGAAAATAACTCCTGTATTTTCCACACTAGAAGTCGCACTGGATTATAAGGCGCACTGTTAATGGATGATCTGTTTTCGATCCTTTTCCATATATAAAGCACATCGGACTACAAGGCGCATTAAGCGAAACAAAAGAGTCAGATACGTCAGTCAGGCAAAGCACAGCACGTATTACTCGACGCTCCTGACTACGGGGCCGTAATGTGATGTACAGTAACTAAAATATTTTGACAGAGCGCCGTGAGCGTCTTGTACCGCACAGAAATCGCTTTGAGGTCAGTAGGCACATCCAGAATCAATCCACATTAATTCACTAGAGGGCGCTGTTTTACTCCAGAATTACGCAGTCCACATTGTAAGTGCGCTGACGTTTTTTGATATAAAGGCTTTTTTTAAAAAGTGTGCCTTATAGTTCAGAAAATATGGTACTTGCCTATAGTTGTCTATAACTTCAGTCAGAGCAAAAACAGAATATCCAGCCTCGTGACAAATGAATCCCTAAAGCTCACCATCAGCAAACTGCAGCTATTTGTTTAGTATGAGATTATGCTTCTAATTTAACATTTTCAGTTTGCTGTGCCAATGAAGGTCATGAGCAATATTTATATTGTGCTTCAATGACTTTCCCTTATTTTAGAATGTGATTTGGCATTTTGCAAAAATATTCATACCCTTTGTCACATTTTGTCAAATTACAGCTAGGAATTTAAATGTATTTTATTGGGCTATTACGGGATAGACCAACACGAAGAGGCGCATATTTGTGAAGTTGCAGGAAAATAAAATACTGCTTTCTAAACTTAGGTTTGAAAGCAACATGCCTTCAGGGGTTATGAGCAAACATGTGGAAGGAGCTGCTCTGGTGAGATGAAACCAACGTTTACACTTGTGTCCGCTTCATCCATCACTGTGTGGCTTGGCTCAGCTACAAAACAGGACGGGCCCAAACTTCAAAGAGCAATCACATCTGCATAGGAGATCACTGCGGCTGATCGTATGGCCAGTTTGGACTAGTACAAGTGGAGGGTCAGGAAAAGGGAAGCTAATATTTCTGCAGACCCCACACGTCCTGGACACAAACCGCTTAGACTTTTACCTTCACCTTCGTGCTACTACAGAGGATTATTTGCTAAAACCAGTCGCCACAGAAACCGTTTCTTCCCCCAGGCTGTTTCTCTAACGAACACATTAAACAGAAACCCTACATCTTGAGCAGTCAGCTGTGCAAAAATAGACATATTTGCACTATTAACACATATAAACATTAGCTGCACATTCACATTGTACACGTGTTTCCATTAATATTTTCTATGTTTAATTCATATGTAAGTTTATATATTTATACTTAATGTCTGTACACTCATTGGTGAAGCCATAGTCGAATGAATTGTTTGGCCACACAAATACAACCAACGAAGCCGATTCTGAAGAAGTCAAAATTTGACGAGTAGAGAAAAACTAAACCAGCACAAACACATATCAGGGAGGTGAACACTGCCATTGTGAAACAAGTTAGTGGCAGTTGAGTGAGTGGTTTTCTGTAGAAAAAATGAGGAAGCTTGTCAGAGCTGATTTGAACATGGATGAGGCTAAATACGGTGCAACACTGGAAGAAAATCTGTTGAAAAGTACTTGAGATTGGACTACACTATCCCCTTCGTATATGAAAAAAATGTTAAAAAAAAAAAAAAAAAAAAAGGAGCCAGAGCTCTTTGAGAAGTGATGGTAACGCTGGAAAATTGAGCAATTTTGCAAACAAGATTAAGCAAAAAAAAATTTCAGTCTGTAGATGAGCAAAGCTGATGGAATCAAACAGCAAAAGAGTCTATGCAGCTGTACTTGCAGCTGCAACTACAGCTGCATAGACTCATTGATGTTACTGTACTGACAAAATGAAGTACTGACTCAGGGGGCCACAATACTGCAACACTTCACTCTATTTGTGAAAAAATAAAATAAAATAAAATAAATGAAACAAGGCATTGTTTTCTTTCCAAATTACACACAACTGTACTTAATTTCATACGGTCAAAAATACGACACATCGAAATTTGGGGTTTTAACATTACAAAATGTAAAAGAAATGTTTAGCAGGTTACAGGTTAAAGGGCAATTAGTGAGAAAACAAGCCATGAAGAGAAGCTATATTACTTCCTATAGTCTGTGCTGGGAAGTAAGACGCATCGACAGACGATTTAAAAAGCAAAAGTCTGCGGCATGTGACTGCTCTGTCTGCTAAAGGAAATTCGCACCACCACACTACTTCAGCTATATCCTGACTCTGTGTACAGGAAACTATCTGCTCACGAACCAATGAATTCGATGCGCAGCCATACTGAGAATAAGTAGGTTTGTTTCCATCTACGTGCAGGTTTTTAAGAGCTCCATGTGAAGGTTGCAAAGCATACATGGCTGATCACATGACCAGATGTTTTTCAGGCTGGGAAGTGCAAGCGAAAGCATGCTTTTTGGCAGCCGAATGTCTTCACACCGATTTCAGAATATGCTCCTGAAACGTGGTACAAAAATCTCTCTGTGTCAGCTTAGCCACGCTGCAGGGTGGGCTTACGGTAAAAGAGCACAGCTTCTGCAAAAAAAAAAAAAAAAAAAAAGGGAAGAGCAGGAAAGTTTGCACTGAAATGCATCCTGACATCATGTTTTACAAAAAAAAAAAAACCTGTCTCAGGAAATTGCAGAGATATTTCTGAGCTCATCTCTACTGAACAAACTCCCAAAGTCAAAAAGCATCACTTGAACTCCAGACTAAACTAAATGACTTAGCAATTTAAATTTCTGCCCCGTGGGCTTCGAGAAGTGTTTTTTTTTTTTTTTTTTTAAGTGCATCAGCAACGAAAATGAAGGGGGGGATGAAAGCCCATTCCTGAGTAGTAGGAAGGTGGCTGAGCTCAAGTAATTATATCATTAGAGTAGCTCCTCTCAAAGAGCATGTCATTTTAACCCAGGAGGCGGGCTGTGGAAGGGATGAATGGTGGTAATTGTCACCTAGGGCTGCATATAATTGCAGAGTAGTGGGGGGAAAGGGGATTAGTAGCAGCCAGAGCTACTTGGTGCCGCTGGGACTGAGTCTGAGAGAGATGAAGGTAAAACTTCCTGGCAGCAGGGCGACTTGGTCAAAGATAAGACAGACAGGACGATGAGGAGGAGTAGAAAGGCTCCACAAACATTTCACTTGGTGTAACACTTGGGTGTAGTTGAGGAACCTAGCATGCGGTTAGGCAGCGTGAACTTTGGCACGTTAGGACGTTAGGTAATTTGGGACATGATGAGTAAAGAGAATTTCACCTTTGTCTTGAAAATTATATAGCAAATGTGAGCTTGGGAGCAGACTCCTAAAGCCACACGCTGTAGTGGATGACCTATCATGCAGAGGGCTGTGGCCAGCACAACAAGCTGGAGTATGTAACTTTTATAAAAATCTGTTTTTTTTTTACATATGTGTGAAAACTGCCACTATGTTATGACAGTATATTACAATACTGATAATCTGTGAAAATAAAATGAGTTAATCTGCCTTCTCCCAGTGTTAACTACATAAATCAATCAGAAATGACCAGTCAGAGCTGGAGGGAGGTCTTAGAGCTGTCAATCAAACTCGTGTATGTGCTGCTCACAGCTGGTTCACCAAACATGGAGCCCGTACTGACCGCTCAGGCTAGTTAGCATGGTCACTGTTGACAGATGAATGTCTTTCTTATAACGGTATGCCGTTTCTCCACCATTAGCACATTTAGCAGCATGTACAAGAGTATGATTGACAGCACGAAGACACTCCCCCTGGCTCTGATTAGTTGTTTTTGACAGAGATGGCAGTAGCAGCACTGGAAGGAGGTGGAGGATTTCACAGATTATCTGTCTCATAATATGCTTTCACGACATGGTGACAATTTTAACAAATATGTAAAAACTTTTTTTTTTTGTACATGTTACATACCCCCACATTCAGATATTTGGAAAATCAGATTTAGATCTTGTCCAAATTGCCAAAACTGATGATGAAATCCATTTTTGATGTACACACATACAACCTAATCAGAAGCTAAACAGTATTATTTATTTCTAAATAATACTGTGTAGTATTTAGAAAATACTACACAGAACTTTGAAGCACATGTGGACTCATTTACTGATTAGTAGAAGAAATAAGTAAAATAAAATATTATACTGTGTGTAACTGATAGCAACTTATTTTGAAGCATTTAAGTCAGGTTCAGATGTTTGACAAGTATTTCTGCTTGTCAAACTGTGATAGCAAAAGCTTTATTAAGTGAAATGATCTTTAAACATACTTAAAGCATGATTAGCCAAATTTAAACTATATATACTGTTTATTTTTCAGTAGGGTTGCTGTTCTCAGAATGTGGTACTTGGGTTTCCTTTAGTGGGGCTCAAAATAACTTCTGGTTATTTCCAAGGTAAACACAATCAAACTCACTGTGATGAAGTGAAGAGCAGTGAACCAGGAACAAACTCTCATGGCTTCTGATGCTGCGCTCTACTGATCTCTGAACGTGTCAATCTGGGAATCACATCAAACTGAACCTTGTCTCAGGGTTAAGTTGGAAAACCGGATAACGGATGTTCTCAGTGATAACTACTGTTTGTAATAAAAGCTAACAACAAATTTCACAAACCAACAAAGATGTTCTGAGCACTGCATGAACGTTTTTGCTGAAGGAGTTTGCATATTTCTGATTTACTGAGATACAAACAGTTTAATTTGAGAAATACAAAGTCTTTTTTTTATGAAAGTTTGGCTTTGTGGGACACCTCCTTTTGTCCCCCAATTGAAAATGATCATTTTAAGGACCTATCTGTTAATTTATCCAAGTTAGAAATTAGAAAGTTCAAAAGTTCAAAAATTCGACACACGATTGCAGCTCATCTTTCAACCAAACAAAGAGAGTCTGTTTTCCCTCATGTAACTTTTTTTTTTGTTGCTTTTTCTTATTTTTCTACAAAACTAGATAAGACTGAGGGAGCATCCAGGTCTGTTTTTCTTCTTGTAGTACATTTTGAACTGAAAAAATACACCCTTTGCTTTTTGAAAATCCAAACAAAAAATACATTGCTAAAAGTTCCCATTATTATTATTGATGCTATGAAGGTAAGCCATTCAAAACTGCAAAAAAATATCTATTTTGGTGCAGCTGTATTGAGGAACAATAACATCGATACAGAAGGCAACATGCTGGACCTCACAGTGGATGTTGTACATTTAAAATAAAAAAAATTATATATAAAAACAATTACAATTTTCAGTGTTTAAAGAAGCACACCAATCCCTGCTTTGTTTCCAGTTGTGCAGCTGTATAATCTCTAGTTTTAACCATTGTTTTCTTTAATTTAGGGAAACAATTGGGGCCCTGTACCTCTTAAAATTTAACCATTCCAATCCAACTTTATTACGGTATTTAAAATGTTTAAATAGCTCAAAGAGAAACAAAGTGATGCACAAAACTCCACGGTCCAAACTCTGACATACTAAAACATACAGAAACTTAAGGAGTGAAAATGGTTGATTTTATTGTTCAATATGTTTTAATGAACGTAAAAAGAATAATGTCATGCTACAACTAGCACATTCCCAGCTTCTGACCCGGAAAATGAGTGGAACAGACTCATAAGTATGTAAATAAATGACTCACATTAAAAACAAGGTCTAAGGTGGGTGAGAGTTCATTCATTATCGTTACCCAAAATAAGGCAATAAAATGAGCAGAAATAAGTTTATAGATGCTGCAGCCAGACATATCAAAGTATAGCCTAAAGCCATACTTTGATAGCCTAAAGACATTTTGCGAACGCGCGAGAGTGAGCAGAGTGTTTTCCGCCTTTAGGATGCATATCAACACAGCAAAACACTCCCACACTTGATGCTTCACACTGCCAATCAGCTGGATGAAAGAGGGTTACTGCACTGTTACACTGATTACAATAAAGACAATTCAACTGTTTGCAAATATTTTCCAATACAAATACAATGGACAGACAAGGCATATTAGCCCTATTGATAATATTGTTATGACTAATAATAATATTATTAGCTAGGAAAAATATGTTACAGCATAACTTGTACATTTCTACTTCAAAAGTTTGCATAAATGTCATGATAGTGGAAATTTATTAGTATCACAATGTGAGTATTTCATTCTGGACTGTAGTTGCAACTAATCTAAACTTGTCTACTAGCCATATCTATAAAACAAACCTCCCACCTTTTCACAGATCATTTGTAGATTTTTCTGTGGAACATAACTCCAGAGAATTCACAGAAACTTTCACAACTTGCAGATTTTATTATTATTATTATTTTTTTCCTTTTTTTTTGCATAAAATATCTAAAATATTTGAAAGAAATACAGCTTAGGAAGCTGAAATACACAGATACAGTACTACTTGACAGACTATTGACTGGTGTTTACACCCCAGAGCATAAGGAAGACTGTAGGTATTAGTTCCTGGAGTAGTGCTAAGATGGCTTCTGAGGTATATTTTCTGGTTAAATTATTAAAAAAGGGCAGTTATGGTGGTTTTCAGAGGGAGTTTAAACTACCAAGCAATTCGCTAGCAGCTGTGGTGACACACCGCGGGTCCACTGTGTGCATAAGGGGACTGCAGCACAGGCTCCCCAAACCCACCTTTGTGAACGCCACTGCTAAGGGATTTAAATACTCAAAAAAACGGTACCAAACGACCTTTCATTGTCGTGATTTTTATCTATTTAGGTCACACATATCAATTGCCACAATTATTTCTGCTATTTACTTTGATTATTCGGAGGCTGTCAAGACCGCAACTTTCGGAACCACCGATGAAACTGTCAAACCAAACGTGCTCCTCAAAACTAGCTTTGTCTCGTAAAATACTGTCAGTCACGTCTTCGTAAGGCAGTAAGACATTTTCCACACAAAATGAGACATCTTAAGGAGCTCAAATATTTGATTAGTTTTTAAAAGTCGATGACAGATTTGAGATCAGACAATAAATGTCCGAATTACGCTACCTTTGCGTTTACTTTATTTTCTCCGACTTAATTTACACGGTTGTAATAAAAGTCTGCATTAGGCACAGTGGACTGAACCTCTTTTTTTAAAAAAAAAAAATAATAATAAGGAAGTTCTTTGTTGAAACTCTGAGTCAACTCGCCCCTTGAACAAAGTTTTAATAAGTTTAACTCACTCGTCTCCACCGGCAGAAGCACAATACCGAACAGGACCGCTCCGCAGCAGAAAACGGAAAACCGAAGCAGCTCCATGTAGAACCGGACCACACGCCCCCTTTCTTTTTCATTAATTGAGCCTGGACAGAGGAGTTAAATATCCGAGTTTCTCTGGGATCCAGCCGCCTGTTGCTCCTCCACAAACCAGCGACTTCACAGCTCGGTGTAGAAGCAGAGTAAACACCAGGCAGGACTTGCCCTATATGACTCACAGTATGTGCGCCTTTCCTGAGACAGGAAATCTTCAGAGGGGCTGGACGGTTTTTTTTCTTCCCCCTCTCTCTCTTTCTCTCTCTCTCTCTCTCTTTCTCTCTCTCTCTTCTCCTTCTTCTTGTTCTTGTTCTTCTCAGTCATGCTTCTGTGGCTCACAGAGTTTTGAAGCATGTCATTAAGAAGCTCAGAGCCAGTAGAGCAAAGGCTTGAAATTACACGCTCCATACTTGCTTAATTAGAGACTTCACTTCTGGGCTACACACGTATATACAAACAGATTTACTTAAGAAAACTCATATTTTCATTTAAAGGTGTCGGTGAAATGGTCATTTTTAAACTCTGTAACAGGGTCACCCAAAGATACATAAGGCCCTGGGAAGATGGATATCAGAACCCAATTCCCGTTAAAGAGCTACACTTAGTTTTTTTGATTTAAAGTTCAAACCACATCTTAATATTTTGGATGGGAAGTCTATAAAACAATATGGCTATCGGAATTGAAATGGTGCTTTAAAGAATCTGTAATCAGTGGAAATAAGGCAATTAAAGTTTACCCACACAAAACAGACTTTCAAATAGAACCGCAGCCCAAATCTCCCTGAATAAAACTGTGAAATCTCCCTTTAGTTTGCCCTAAACTAAAGGGCAACCCTCCCTTCTGTCACCCCACAGACACTGAAAATGTTGAGATTTTGAATTATAGATAGTTAAATACATGTTAAACTTCTTAAAATAAAATAAAATAAAATAAAGCAGCCCTTTAATATTGTATCAACTCCGGCCAACATCAGCTTTCTGAATGTTTAACTTCCAGCTAAACATTAGAAAAAACTATTCTGGGTGCAACATCACTTTTTTCCCTTGTGATGCCCTGTGCTTAAAGCCACATTGTTCATATATAAAAACTACTAATGGATACAAATACAATGCTAACTGGAACCATGTCAAGTAAATGTGGTGGAAGTGTCTCTCTAGTGTTTGTGCAAACCACTGAATAAACTAACATGCAGTCTGTTTACATCAGTTTGGTCATACAACTGAACATCTTGCAAACTACGTCCCATCGTACTTCAAAATAAGAGCATAACATTTTTTTAAGTCAATTCTGCACTTTTTTCCTGATCGGTATTGGCCGATACTATACCTCAGATATCTGTGTAGGTGTTGGAAGTGAAAAAAGTGGATCGATGCACCCCGAGACATCTCGGAAATGTGCATCAAAAACTGCATGTTTGGTGCACAGTTACAAAGGAATAAACAGATAAGCAAAAGTTTAAATACGTAGTTATGAAAGGGAATGAGACACAAGTAAAAAAAGCAAGGAATCCTGCTGACTTGGAGTACGTACACTAGGCCAGAGGAGCGTGCTGCTTGGCATGCTCCTCTGGAAATTCTCCTGTTTCCTTCAAGGCCCACATAAGGAACAGGGTCCGTCTAACTCTCATTTGCTTTTGTTATTATAGTTGAGGACACACAGAGAGGAGTTTAGCGCCCCGGAACACTCAGAAATTACTCATCTGCTGCAGCTCTTCTCTGGCATGTTTTTGCTCTGCATGCTCGAGAAGTGACGTCAGGCTGGGGCTCTGACCCTGTGACCCCAAAGGCTTATGATTCTTTAGAAAAACCGTGATTGCTCCCTTAACTTCCTCTGTCATCAGCTGTTGGGTTACTTTTTAACATACATGCAGCAAAAAAACAACAACAAAAAAAAGTCATGTTGCCAAACTAAAAGAGGAGCTCTTGTTAGCATACTTGTGCATACTTTTATTTGTACAACTATACTTAAAAGACTTTTCTGAAAGGAAAGACTTTACTGGCCTCCGTTATTTTGTGTTCCCTCATTCTTGGCTCTCAGTCAGCGGGTGTGGAAAGTCGTGTTTATGTCTCGGTGTCTGTTTTAGACGTGTGCAGCCATTAGGTACTGCAAGGTGGACTTCAAGCCACAAGGTGGAGATCCGAAAGCATTTTAAGGCCAAAACAGGCCACAGACCTCAGCACATGTGAGGGTTTCAACATCCTGCTCAATGACCACAACATTCAAACAAAACTTCTGTATAAATATATACCTAACTTTACAGCTTTATCTGCTTCAGTTGAACAGGAAACCCCAGCAAAACCCCGGAAGGCTTATTTTAGTCCACGTGCCATTTTCTTTTACTTTCAGCTTCCTCCTCCTGCACAAGCTTCACAGAGATTTTTTTTTTTTTTTTTTTTTACCTTTGAGCTACTTATGCCTTACAGTGTTGCGCAAAACGCAGATAAACAAGAACCAGGCAAACATCCTGAGCGGTAATATGCTCAAAGCCGACGCCTTGTGTTCCTGTGAACTGCTTTGGTCAAGTTGGACAGCAAACAGAGTGACCCTTACAACAACTCTCCAGACGCATGCCTTCAGATAACACTGACAGCAAACAGGCGATTTCTGCTATTTTAATGATGCTAAGAGACGTCACTCCTCCAGCCCTCCCTCTTGGTGACACGATGAGACTGTTGGTAATTAAATTTGACATGGTTGCTCTATTTTTAGAGCCCCAAGACGACTTCGTTTGACTTTCTGTTTTTAATAACCCAGATAATCTCCTCTCCAGTTTCTTGACTGGACTTTGCTTCACCTTTTTCATACTTGTCCACCGTTTTCTACGAAAAGTTTTCCTTTCACTCAACTTTCCACTAATATCTTTGGATACAGCGATCCATCGAGAACCAGTGACTTTTAGTGGCCTGTTTGGTCGAGTGTGACTTTGACAACTGAGCTAAGCTGCAGTGAAAAGCAAATTGCTTTTCCCACATTGCAGCAGCTTTATTTACAAACAGCAAGAAGAACAGCAGCAACAAAATCCTCCTGCTGCACAAGAAGAGCAGCAGATGAAGGCAAATCAAGAGTTCACCAGCATGGCAGCTTTCATCTGAACAGATCCACTTTTACACAAGCAGATGAATCTATATTCAATCGACTTAGCTTCTCAAAACGCACTCGTGTTGCACACGCATGCGTCAGATTTAACCATTACATTCCTAATTTTTACACTTATAAAAGAAAGGGTGAAACACTTGATGTACAGAACTACAATTTGAAGATTATATGCAACAGCGTTGGATTATAAGCACCGAATGCAGCCCCACACAAAAAAAAGAACAAAGAGTTCAGCCATGTTAGGGGAAATACCTGTAAAGGGCCTGAACTTCGGTAGTGATTTATCTAGTCCAGAGATGGTGGATTTGTTTAGACACGCTGATGGTGGTAAGCTACATTGTGGCCACAGGAGCGAGGCTGCCGTACACGATACGTGGAGTATATACTTTATGTACTGCAGTGATGATGGTGGTGATGTTCAGAGAGCCAAATAAGCCTGAGATCTCGTCAGATCAAATTGTATTTTGCAGTAAATGACAAAGTAAGCTGCACAGGTGTGCTTGTGTTTACAAAACTGTAATCTGAAACAGATTATAATTGACTGCTCAACATGGTCTAGTGTAGATCACATACTGACTGTTGATAATTACCCCACAGAACCCTCTTTAAAATCCTCTGCTATCCCAGTGAAAGCCACCCTGATGGAAAGCATCTATTGAAAATTTTCCACTCAAATCTTATTAGTCTTATATCTTAAATTTGTATCCAATCAAACCCAGATAATATAAAATGTGAATTACAGAGTTTTGCTTGGCATGTTGTGTCTTAAAAACAAGACAATCGGTGGTGTTACGAGACAAAATGCTCTTGTTCCTGTAAGGTGTGTGCTTGTATCACATAAATATAGTTGCTTTTTATCGTGTGTGTTGTTGCAGGCCCATCTTTGCCCTCACTGATGCTTCTCCTCTAATATGTCAATCTGAAAAGTGAACCTGCCTCAGGATGTGCCTCCACAATCCTTCAAAACTTACTTCTGCCCCGGAGAGCTTAAGTTAGCTCTCATGGCGTTAGAGTCAAACTGTTCAAGACACGGTGTAGTGTACGGCTTTCGGGGTCGTCTAAGGACTGAAGATGAGTAAAGACAGCACAAAACAACAGTGTGGAAACTGAAAGGTGAAATCAAGCTGGGAGAGGAGTAGAGTGGAAGCTGAGCTGAGCACATCTCATCTGGTGTAGCTTCTGCAGCAGTAATTGGCTCTGTCAGGATGTGTAAATCTTTTGAGACCTTCACACTGCAGATCTCTGGAAGGATGTGGGCTGCCTGTCTGTCTCTATACAGTCACAACATAAACTGAATTCAGAGCCGAATGGTTAGGACAGAATTTAGGAAAGATGTATTTATTGTATTTTAGAAATTGGTTGTAAGAGTTTGCCTCACCTGAACTGTGTTGATCAACACACTTTGCTAAAGATAAAAACACTTTTCATTGACCTAACGCATCAGATCATACTTTGTTTCTGTCACTGAATCTGACTGAATCCTCTCTCAGTTTTTCTGAGCTGACCAAGCTTCTTTGTTCGTTTTACAACCGCTTTGAACGACATACACGCCGACATCCTACACGCTGCTTTGTAATATACCAAAAACGACTCCGTTTATCGGAGTTCATGCTGCGAAAGCCATCTACAAGACATTTTACTGCACTCAAACATGTGTGAAATGCATCTCAGCGTTGCGTGCATGCAACCGTCGTCTTAAAGCCACAAAGCCACAGAAATGCTATGATTTCCTCAAATATGATAAACAGAGTAGTGATGAATAACATCTTACTTTGAATGTTGTTGCATGCAGCCTGCCACAAATTCCTAACGTATGACTTCAGGATTTCATAGAATTAACTTTGTGTCCATTGCTGGGCAAACACCCAGCACACTAACACTACTACCACACACACACACACACACACACACACACACACACACACATCCCCGTTTAATAAACTGGTACAGCTATTTTAGTGCCACAACAGCCTTTCTATCTCTTTTCCCCATCGCTCGTCTGCTTGGATTAGATGGAGACAAAGGGAAAGCAGGATTTGCCCTCAAAACTTCACAGACCAGCAACCTTTGATATCAAAACTAATGGCTATTGTTCTCAGAAAG